AGTGCCGTCTTCATCGGCCACTCATGACAGAGAACGTTCATCGTCTCCTCCAAGCAAAGGCACTCGTCGTCCTCAAGCAGAAAACAACATCATCCATGGCTAGGGCCCTCTTCGTCCGCAGCAAAGGCCACACAGCGGCCAGAACGCATAACACCCATAACAACGAAAATCAAGGATCAAAGCAAAGGGTGCCCGTAACGGCCAAGACTCCATAGAGGTCCCACAATGACCAGAAAACATCAACGCCAGGGAATCTACTCTCCTTCACTTCGTCTACATCTCAGCTCAGAGAGTGGGGGACTCCTGATGGAGTATATGGGCCTGGACCCCAGGGCCCAAATACTCAGGAGAACAGAAGGTACCACGATCACCTGGTGGGACCCTCGTCGGCCAGATGACCTCCATCAGCCAGAAAGAAGTCTACTCAGAATGTGATCCAGAAGCCAGGAGAACCGGGTGACCCCGTCGGCCGGGTCTTCGTCGGCCATGCCCTCGTCGGCCATGCCCTCGTTGGCCATAAATAGCCTCCAGAATAGGATTTTATACTTAATCATTTCTACACACTTTGTATCCGGCCCATTAGTGGCCCTATTGTAAACGGGCCTCCCAAGCCCAAGACTTGGGAGCTCAACCCTAATTTTCTCTATAAATACTCCCCTTGGGAGTAGTTATAGGGGTTGACAAATCATTTATTGCAAAGAGTTATTGCACTTCTCTCTCTAGCTCTCCCTTCTCCTTAGACTTATAGTCCATCAATCTTATTTTAGATTTATAATTCTCCATTGATTTATTTATATTGATATTATATTTGAAGAGGCGACTTGTAGAAATATGTGTTTGTCCTTGTTTCAACAATCAAACCAATAAAATAGAGAAGAATAGAAATGTATATTCAATGCCAAAATGATTTTGCAATACAATGCATGGTATGAATAGTGGCTCTCTCTCTCTAGAATGAAGTTATGCTTAGGAGAATTATGGAGAGGTTTGTGATCTCATTCCCTTTAAAGCAATATTTATATGTCTAGGGAATGGATTGATGTGACCTAAGTGTGATTGGGACCCTTTATTGAGGTCGCCCAAATGAACACATCATAGGGCTATTTATGTAATTTCTCATTGTGAACTCTTGCCTTAGGAATATGGACGGGAACACCGTTGAAAAAACAATGTTTTCAGGGATTTTGCTTTTATATAATAGAAGATTTTTCTTTTTTCATATTTCTAGCTTCCATTTCTTCTCTTTTCCTTTAATTTTGAACTTTAATTTTTTAAACTTTAGCTTTTCTTTTTATTTTTTCTGGTTCCTTTTTTTATTTTTATATATACCCTTTGTCTTATGTTCCTCTAATTTTGAACTCGTGTTACTTTTTAATTTTATACAAGAATTTTTTCATGCAATTCTTTCAAAAATTCATATCGAATGGCAATTCAATAAAAACATATACTTCTCTCACTCTTCTATTAAAAGCTCCAACCTTCTAAATAATTATGAGTATATTATTTAAATTAAATGTGCATTGATATAATTTTTTAAAAATAAGCACAATAAAATTAATTGGTCTAAAATAAGGAATTAGTGCTTCTTTATGTTATATTGATATATCAGTATACACAAATTGATATTGGAGCATATTAGAGATTTTAAATGAGCTTTTTATATATTTCGATACTCATTTGGTAAGTTATCTTTGCTCATTTATTATTGGTGTAATGCTCATTCTTAAATGAGCATTACACCACACTAGGGGCGGAGCCAGGGCACTGTGCCAGACTGAGCCGATACAAAGAATACTTTTAGGAAAAAATTTACACAAATTTTTTTACCTTAAAAATTAAGCCATTTTTAAATTTGGGGTGGGTCATGGCCTAGGTTGGCCCACCTCTAACTCCGCCCATGCACCACACATTTTAAAATGTCATATCCATCAAATTGGTGCAAGGCTCAATTTAAAATTTTTAATGCTCATCTCATAAGTTATGTATTCTTATTTAATATTTGAGCATACTAGAGATTTTAAATAAACCTTTTGAATTTTTCGATGCTCATTTCGTAAGTATGTATGTTCATTTGATATTGGTGTAATGTTCATTTTGTAAGTTACATATACTCATTTGGTATTGATGTTATACTCATTTTTAAAATATTATATTAATGCACATTTCAAAAGTACCATATTACATTAGATTCACATATTGAAATTCATAGAAATTGAGTATATATATAATTTAATAAAAGAGAGAAAGTGAATTAGAAAATATGAAGCAGATGGCGTGATGCTCATTGTTAGGCTTCTAATACTCAACATAATAAGCTTAATACTCACTAAAAGTGCAATAATGCTCATTTAGCGGAAATCACGAATTTCCAGGATCGGACCTGACAATTTATAAACCAAAACAAAAGATAAAAAATAGACCCCTAATTTTATATGTTGTAAGAATATATTACAAAAGTTTCATTCTCAAAAATAAAAATTGTTACACAAGTAAATGTTTTTGTCCATAAAACTACTCGGTATCATAAGTCATACTATCAATTTTTAATTCTCGGAGGTAACATATCTATAATAGTGTTACCTATTTTTCTAGAGAAATAGATATGTTTAACCTCGTGTATGGGCCTTCCGCACCGATGTATGGGCCTACTGTCATTCTGCTGACTGAGTCATCGTGACTAACCTCCCCATCATCCTGTCGGATCGGGATGTGGGCTCCTGGGGTGGGAGATTCCACTTTTTGGAACAATCGGACTCCCTATGCTGCAGGGAAGGAATTGTCCTCATCGACTGTTGGTTGGTAAAGAGGAGCATTTTCCTTTTGATATGGGTTGTATTAGCTTGATGATATGATCACGACTTATCATCCTTCTATCGTCTTTCTATTGTAAACGCTAACTGGCAATGAGCGTGTTGAGAATTGAGATTGTTCACAAAACCCTATGGTTCCATCATCCATTTTCAATAGCGACTATGCGAGGGTAGCGACTAGATTCACAAGATTGGGGCAACGGTGGGTATAAAACAAGCTTTGCTAACATCATAAAAATGTGATTCTGCTCAAATTTATCACGATTCTGGTAGCATCAGAGCCCATTTGGTAACAATGAATCGTCTGATTCTTCTGAAATTTATGAAGTTTTACCGAAGTGATTGTTTTGGTTGATTTTGGTGATTTATTAAATAATTATTTTTAAAATATTTGTATTAATAAAATAAATAAAAAATTATATGAAAAAATAATAAAATGGTCATCTACAGTGACTTCGGTCAATACAGCCAGAAAAGTAGCACGCGAAATCCAAAATTACGTGTTTGATTAAAAAGTTGGTTGATAAGTCAAAAAACGGATTCACCGAGCAATAACTCAATTTGGTTCAACTTGGATTTGTTACTTTTAAAAACATACTACGTATTGTTTTAATGATTTGTATTTTGTAAATATGATTTTATTTTATTGAATGTATCATGAGAGTAGTGTTCAGGTTATGGATGGACTCGGGTCCGGGCCGGGTCCGGGTCGGGCCTAGGCCCGGGCGGGCCGGCGGGTCAGAAATGGTGGACCCGGGACCGGCCCGGGTAACCACCGGGTCCGGTCCGGGTCTGGGCCGGGCCGAGCCGGGCCCATTATAATTTTTTTTTTGTTTTCCTCTTCCTAATTAACCCCCTCCCACCCCCAACCCCCAAACCACCCCAAATGGCCCAAAATACCCAGCCCAACCCAAAAATTTAAAAAAAATTGGAAAAAAAAAATAGTTTTTGGCCCGAACCAGGCCCGGGCCCGGTCGGGCCTTGTTTTGGGTGACCCGAGCCCGGACCGGAAAACCCACGGGCCAGGCCTACCCGGACCGGTCACTGACCGGGCCACCGGGTCGGGCCGGGCCGGAACAGTACCGGTCCCGGGCCGGTTCCGGGTCGGGTCACCCGGCCCGAGTCCATCCCTAGTTCAGGTCAAGCCTTCCTGATCAGAACCACCGTCCGGCCGACGGTTTTTGGGGCCCTTCCCGATCGATGTTTTTGATGTCTGTATCATGATTTCAATTGAATTTAATACACTTGGAAAAATACTGCAAAAATCAAAATTTCAAACCGAAAGACACTTGGAAAAAATACTGCAAAATTCAAATAGACTTGGAATCAACGCATACTACATTACAATGTATTTGGAGTAAACATCCTATTTCTTATTTCTTGGTATACACAAAATCTGTACACAAATTGTAACAAAAAAATGTGTATTACACTGTACACGCGTGCGTTTTTATAAAGCAACAAGAGGATTGTGTATAAGTTGTGTAATAATACTCCCTACATCTTTATATAAACGTATCCATTTGTTTTCCACACATTTTAAGAAAGTAGAATTGGTTGATACTGTTTAGCACTATTTTGATAAAAAAGGAAAGAACTTTTATTTAAAAAACCAATTCTTTTATTTAGGAACGAAGGGTGTACTATGTAAATCAAGAATTTTTCATGCATTTGAGAGAGGTACGATCCATAAATAGAACAGACTACAGAGCCGCCCAACAGTAGTTAGGGATGAAAATTTCATCCCTAGGCCCGGTCGGGCCGGCGGTCCTATATAGCTGGACCCGGGACCGGCCCGGGTAGCCACCGGGTCCGATCCAGGTCCGGGCCGGGCCTAGGGTTTGGTTAATTTTTTTTTTTTTTTGCTTAGCTACCCATCCCTGAACCCCCCTGACCCCCCCACCCCCCAAACCCCTCCTAAACATCAAGCCCAACCCGGTGGAGCCCAAACAAATGAAAAAAACCAAAAAAAAAATAAATTTGGCCCGAACCGGGCCCGGGCCCGGCCGGGCCGAGCCTTGTTATGGGTGACCCGAGCCCGGACCGGAAACCCACCGGGTCGGGCCTACCCGGACCGGTCACTGACCGGGCCACCGGTTCGGGCCGGGCCGGAACAGTGCCGGTCCCGGGCCGGTTCCGGGCCGGTTCCGGGTCAGGCCACCCGGCCCGAGTCCAACCCTAGTAATCTCATCATGAAATATTGATTTATAACACGTTGGAACTTGGAAGCATGACGACGCAATCAGACAACTAAACTTGCAAAGAAAAATTTAACTTAACGAACACCAATGAAGACTTCTGAATTTCAAGAGATGGAAATCAAATGCTCAACATAGTAATCTCATCATCAATTTAGGGGAATAACACAAAATTCAACTTAAAACACATAATGGTAGTCTGTAAACCAACACTTTTGATTTGCCCGCTAGCTAAATTGCAAAAAAGATTAGGTATTTGTAGCCCTGGTGTATATCTGCTGGCTAGCGTGAGCAGACACCATCCTGATCAAACCTCTTTCCAACAATTCTTGGATTGCCCTCCTTGCAAGTGATCCACTAATCTGTACACCAAACGAAAAGGATCACAGCTGATTGATGAAAATTAGTTCATCAATTTTATGAACCAAGAAATTACACTTCATCCTCTACTAGTCAATAATGAAAGACCACATAACAGGAAATAACAAAAAAATCCAACAATAGGAGTAAAAATGTTTTGAATATTTTAAATATGAATACTATACTTTTTATTCCCTAAATAGGAGTAGAAATGCCAAATTTGAAAATACTGCTATGTTTAAATCCCAGAAATGACAAAATATGGTGGCAATCACTACTATTTAGGAAATAAAAAACATAGTAGTCATATTTTGGAATTGATCAACATTCTTACTCCTAGCTAGGACAATTTCTTCAATAAATATTTTTACTCAGAATACAATTATAAATATTACGAAAACAACTCTGATTTAAAGTAAGCCTCAAATGTAAATTACATAGAGATGGGTTATGGGATAGGAGTCTAGGAGAATATATTCCAAGCCCAATGGATCATTAAATCAAGAGTGGGATCTGGACCCTGCACCCTACTTTTCATGATAAACTGATGTTGTCCCTTTAAGTATTTGCACCTCAATTTTAGACAGAACAGTTAAAATGGGGCGAAAACCCATATTTTGACAAAAAAAAACAGGGTGAAAAATGCTAACTGAAAATGAGCGAAAATGCACATTTTGAAGACAAAAAGGGGTTCAAACTCAGATTTCCCAATCATAAGGTGATAAAACCTTTGGTATGCCAATTTAAGGGTACAACCATCTGTTCTAATGAGAAAATGTATGCAGACACTAATGTTATCACATTATCAAATGTGGAAATAAAATGATGTGGTTAATGGGTCACAAACTAGCATAATGAGACCCACATGACTTTATTCTACCATTAGTAGTGTGGGGAGTTTAGAGGGACACATAAACATTGGGATTGAAACACCAAACAAACTAGCTCAATGTAATCTAGGTCCTCCTTATATGCACGGAAATGTAGAAATAAATAACATCACCAATCTTCGCTAAACACAATTAAAAATACATTTTGGCCCAATTTAATATTTGACCTTCATAAAATCATCTTCAAATAATAAAATCAGCTTCAAATAGTAGCCATTCCACAATGAAAATTACATAAAAACGTACATCATAGTAAGTTTTGATATACAAGATCAACAGCAAACCATATACTCATATTAGTTTGAGTAGCAATCGAATTATTAATTAATTAAATAAAATAAAATACTAAACACAGTAGAAAGGCATACCCTTAAACGATCGGAGAGGACTGAAGGGGTGATGAGCTTGTATTTAGGAGCTTCCGATAAGAACTTCTCATATGTAGCCTTGTCAAAAAGCACCATGTTGTTCACCTTCTCCTTTTGCTTTCCCTTGCTCCACTTCTGCATACCCGTAAAATATACAACGACCAATTCCTTGTTACTCCGCCACAAAATCACTACAATACGCATTTAACAACTCGAATTTTGACATCGAAACTGACATAAGAGAGATGTAAAATGAATTGACCTTCTTTTTCTGCTTGCCACCACCGGTCTTCGCGGGCTTGGAGGCGGTTTGAGGAGCCTTTTCCTTCTTCGGTGCCTACAACAACACAAATACACATTTAGCGAATGCTAACGTGGTTATGAAACACAAAAAGAAAAGCAATTACAGACGAAGATCAGCGAAGAAGAAGAAGCACACCATTGTCTGTGGAATCTAGGGTTTGGGCGGAGGTTGAGCTCTGGGTGACTTGCTGCGATATAGATAGACGATGACCCTAGGGTTTCAGTTCACTCTCCGATTTTTAAATGATTTTGGAAGTAACATTGGGCCGAGATCTGCTTGTTGCATCTGATTGTAGTTGGACTGTACAAAAAAATGGTCTGGAGTAATTACAGGCCCAGTTCAATGTGACAGGGGGATTAGATGTTTTACTGTTTTCATAATTTTAAAATAATGATGATGAATTCTAGGTATCTTTAATTAAGAATTTTGAAAATCCCAAATAAATTTCAGGGTAATTCTAAAATGGGAAAAATACTTCAAATACCGTAAATTGTGAAGTGGTGTACGGTAAATGTCCCAAACTTGCATATGTAATTTCAATATCCCGAATTTTATATAAAAAGTTATTTAACACCATGAGGATATAATTTTCTTTCAAAAATGTAAATTTATGGTATTAAATAAATATTTTAAATTCATTTTTGAAAGAGATAATATATGACCATAGGGTGCTAAAATAACTTTTTAAGTTAAGTTTGGGGTAATTAAATTTCATATGCAAGTTTGGGGTGTTTACCTCACACACCTTCAAAGTTTGAGGTATTTGAATTATTTTTCCCTTCTAAAATTTTAATTAAAAATCCTATTCACTCCATTAAAATTTAAAAGATCTCAATTTAAATGGCAAATTTTGTATTTTGATGGATTCTTATGAATTTCTACCGTGAAAAACAATTCTTATCAAAGATGCGACCACTTATGTTTAGATTGTCATGATCTCATAGAATTTTATTGGAATACTATAGAATGAATGGGTTCAATTAAAATTCGGGTTTTTCTTGTTGTACCCACCCGTTATACACATCTCTATGAAGAGTTTTATTTGTCTGTGAATCATGTTCATACACAAAATATGTTTTATTTTGTCTGTGCAAATTTGCATAGACAGAATAAGACATATTTTGTCTGTGAACGGAAATTCACAGACAGAAAAAAACCTTCCGAACGTGGGTGAGTATAAAAATGGGTATAAGAATGAGTACAAATATCATTTTTGTTCAAATATAAACACACTAGTATAATTAATTATCTACATGTGTACTTGATTTGAATTTTGTTAAGTGGTCCAATTATGCGTGTAACAAGTGCTCGACCTCTATTTTATGTTTACTTTTATTTTTTGTAACAGAAAATATTAATTTATCAAGTGTTGAGTTACAAGGTATCAATATATGTATAAGGAATGATCTTATTTCAAGTGAAAATAAATTAGGTGTGTTAAGTTTGTTGGTTCGTTTTTAATGCCAGTTTTGATAATGTTTATCGGGAACTGAAATGTGATACTTGAGTTGGTTCAATGAATCTGGATTACTCAACTATTGGCGGTCCCTCATAATAATCTCAACTATCGATTATTTCAGAATAATCTCAACTATAAGGACTTTCCGCCAATAATGGTCTGACGTGATCGACTATAAATAAATTCCTATAGTTTATAAAGAAATATAGCAGCTAATCCCCATAAATAATCCCAAATTTTAATTTTTACGCTTAATTTGTATTAAAAAATCACTTGTTAGAGCAGGTAATATGCAGTCATGGATCATTATTGGCGAACGGTCCATAGAGTTGGGATTATACAAAAATAATCAATACTTGGGATTATTGTTAGCAGACCGACAATAGTTGAGATTATTATTTTGGGAAAACTGTCAAATAGGTCCTTGAACTTTCATACAAAGGTCAATTAAGTCCTTCTATAGGAGGTTCTGTCCGGCCGTCGCAATTTGGGGCGGTTTCCGGTGAAATTTTTTGATGAAATTATTTGAGCATCTTATTCACCAAGTCTAGTTTACTCATACCAAATTTCAGCTAAAAATTTAATCGGGAGCGCATTCAAATTAATTCGAGAACGCAAAAATGCGCATTTATCTTCAAGAATTAATTTGAATGTGTTCCCGGTTGAATTTTTAGCTGAAATTTGGTATGAGTAAACTAGTCTTGGTGAATAAGATGCTCAAAACATTTCATCAAAAAATTCCACCGGGAACTGCCCCAAATCGTGACGGCCGGACAGAACCTCCTATAGAAGGACTTAATTGACTTTTTTATGAAAGTTCGAGGACCTATTTGACAGTTTTCCCTATTATTTTCAATTTTTCCTACTTTTTTTTTATCATTTTTAGTTAATTTTAGCATGCTTTGACCGACTTTTACCAAGTCGATCAATGTGAAATTTGAAGTCATAAACTGAACCACCATAGAGTTCAGTGTTTTGGTCATTTTAGTTATATTCCATTCGATTGTAGTTGGTTCAATTTTGTTAAATTTATTGAACGATTTAGATTTATTTATTTTTTGTTCAACTCTGGTGAATAAAATACTACATGAAGGCTTGACACCTAGATAAATATTTTCGTGCTTTAAAAGTTAAATGTGTATTATATATAAAATCTCTATTAAATGATAGAGGAGAAAGAAAAAATATTAATAGTGTAGGTTGTAGGTGATTGTACACCAAAGCTCAATTGAAGTCAATAATATTTTCCAAAAAAAAAAACATAATAAGTGTAGGTTGTAGGTGATTGTACACCAAAGCTCAATTGAAGTCAATAATATTTTCCCTTTTTGGAAACGAATGCAGAAGAAACCATAATAATTGAAACTTTGAATTATATATGTGTAAAACTAAGTTAGTTTGGTGTACTTTAGATTATTGTTGATGGTATTGGTCCACCTCACCCGGGCCACCTCTATGTCTTGGTCCACCTCATTTAATATGGTGGTCTCCTATTTAATGTTCTGGCCCAACTGGGTTGGAAACCTGACCAAGCCCATTCCCTTATCCCTTGTCTTATACCCAGCTCATGCCCGTGTGGCCCTCTCTTATATTGTCTGGTTCTTTCTCAAATCTCCTATTTGACTCCTCCCCTTCTTCCTCCTTCCGATGAGGCAATCGGTTGGTTTCCCTAGACCTAGAGTGAGAGAGTTTCTGTTCCCGGAGAGTACTAGCTCCGGCTATACTCCGGTGATACATTGGGGTTCCCTTGGGGGTCTTCACTCTAGTCTGGTAGTGTGGTGGGTTGGTTTTACCTCCGGTGGGTCTTTTGGGCTGGGGTCTGGGTTCTGGTTGTGAAGGTTTGTTGGCTGTCGCCCTTCGTCTTCCCTGATTGTAACTCTGGTGGTGAGTGTGAGCAAGCCCTTGGGCTTTGTGGTGATTGAGGTCTGAGCCGGTCCGGTTTTCTAACAGTGGTATCAGAGCCTGGACGCTGCTGCCTCTCGCTGACGCCGGAAGCTCACCGGACAACTCCCACACCGGAAACAACTACTGCTCCATCGAAGTTGGTAAGTCGGGTTGTCTTTGCATGACACCCGCTCAGGTATAAACACCAAAACCCTAACATCTGGGCTGCCGGAGTGCCACCGGCTTCTATGTTGCATGGGTAGTTCTGTAACCCTAGGTTAAGGAACTGCCGGTTAGAAACCCTAGCTTTTCCATTTTGCATGTGCAGATTCTGTCTAGACAAATCTGCAGAAATCCTAAGTCTGTTGAAATAGTGCATGAGTGGTCCAATCTGTGTCGAACTTGGCCACTGATATATGTGAACTTGTTTTGCTAAATTTATTCTCTGTGTGATTACCTCTGAACCTGTCTCTGTATTGCTGTAGTTTGCCCTAATTTCTACTGTATTATTTGTGTTATTTCTCTGCTCAGTCAGTCTGTTAATTTTTTCCTGTGCTTGGTGTTGAGTTCTGGTAATTTATGGCTTCCTAACCCCTGGTTGGCTAGGGCACCTGAGGTTAGGGCTAAGTGATTCCCTGCCAGCCACTTCAGTGGCCCCGGAACTGCGTGGTCACTTAGTCCGCAGCCCAAACCACCAGGGTTAAGCCTTTATATTACCTGTATCTCTGCAGTTTTGTAGTGACTGTTATCATGGCTTCAAACCAGTATGGTATGATGCCTTTTAATGGTAAGACTGACTTTGATATTTGGAAACAGAAAATAAAATGTGTGTTAATACAACAGAAAGTTCATAGAGCTGTTACTGGACAATACTTAGAAACTGAAGAAAAACCTAAACAAGTTGAAATGAATGAAACAGCCTGCTCAACTATATACTTAAACTTGTCTGACTCTGTCCTTAGAAAGGTTGGAGTCATTGAGTCTGCTAAAGACCTCTGGGATAAACTTGAGTCTCTATATACTGATACTTCCCTTCCTGGCAAACTGTTTTTGTTGGAAAAGTTCTTTAGGTTCAGACTTGACCTAACAAAATATATTGATGAAAACCTAGATGTTTTTAATAAACTAATCCAAAACATTAAGCAGGCTGGGGATAAACATATAGATGACTACACTGCCATAGTCTTATTGAATGTTATACATGATTCCTATAATGATGTTAAGTCTGCCATTAAATATGGGAGGGATGACATAACCCTTGATATTGTTATTAATGGCCTGAGAAGTAAAGAACTTGACTTAAAACATTCTAGGAACCATCATAGGGAATCTGGGGAAGCTTTGTTTGTTAGGGGAAGGTCTAAAAGCAGGTCTAGACACCCTAAAAAGGACAATCATGATAAGAATGGTAGACAACCTAGTAAGAAGAGGTATAAATCTAGGAAAAGAGTCTGCTATAACTGTGGTAACCCAGGACACTTCATAAAAGATTGCACCCAACCTAAGAGAAATGACCAGGCTAATGCTGTGACTAGTAAACCTGTAGAGGAAGAAGTCTTTATGGTCTGTGATCAAGCTAATTCTGTGCTTAGTAGTCTGACTGAATCTGAATGGTTAATAGACTCTGGGTGTAGCTACCATATGACCCCTTTTAGGAATCTGTTTTCCTCCTATAACTTATGTGAAACTGGTTTTGTTTCCTTAGCTGATAGTAAAAGGTGTAAGATCCTTGGTATTGGTGACATCTGTCTAAAATTTGAAAATGGAACTGTTTTTCAAATTAAAAATGTCAGGCATGTACCTGATCTAAGGCATAACCTATTTTCAGTCTCTGCTTTTGAAAATGTGGTCTTGAGGGTAAATGAGGAAATGGGTGTATGAAAATTCTGAAAAACTCCCTTGTTTTGTTTAAAGCTTTGAAACAAA